AATATAGCTGAATAACAATTTTATTTGTTGATTTGCCTAAAACACATCGACAGTAGCGTACAGAATAGCATCTTTACTCTATTCACACCTCAAAACATTTTAGAGGTCAAAAATCAATAGCATTCTAAATATTACAAAGTAACCCGGAACATCAATGTTATGCAATAGAATAGCATGCATCAGACCTTGGAAGCTCAGTCTTGACAATTCAAATCTCTTGCCATCAAAATCCTTCTTTTGGGATGACCTATTAAAAGAATAAAATAAATCAAGGAAAAATGAATAGTCATATTATAAATAAGTTCTTGGGAGATAATTGAACATCGATTAATAATTATAAGAGAAAGATAAACTTCAATTCATACCATTAATTTCGACAACAAGTTGCATTTCTGAATTATCTTGCTGAACAAAGTTTGCTTTATCATCAAAATGAGTGAAGTTTCCCTGAAACAAGAAATCACGTCTTTCCCACATCAAAAGAGAACCTTCCGATTCACCTCTTTGATTTCGTCTATTAAAAGTTGTTCCTTTATAAACAGATAAAAAAGCAAACACGGAAAATACATTAACCTTAAGTACTCACGGAAAGTTGTTCTTCATAAAATACATTTATGAACATTTTGTTATGCAGGTTATGTGCATATGGTCAATTGGTACAGTAATCAAATCTTATAGAGAAACATAAAAGTAAAACTATATAGAATACATGTAAGCCACTCAAGTTCCATATGCTGCCAACAAAACTAGAACGTATACTTATAAAATAGGAACTACTGTTAAAATAATCATCAGTATTGTTATTCCAAACAAATAAATATCAAGTATATCAGCTCAGGTTCCATGATTAATATTTTTTAATAAAAAAAAACTACATTAATCAAAATATAAAAGAATGTTCATCCAGCATCTTTATGATGTTTTAGCATCTCCTAGCAACACTATGTACTCAAAATAGGTTAATGGACATCAAACATTAAAAAATCCAAGCATTAAAAATTATGTCCTTGAATTTTAATGTTAATACAATAATTATAATTACCATTATACATTGCTTAAGATGAAAAGTTTTTTTACCTTACAAATAAGATACACCTAATTTTCTCAAAAAAACATATGTGACTATTAAAAACAAAACCATTAAATTTGCACAAACAACAATCGCAATCAGAACGAAGCACTCAAACTTACAAATTTATTATCTTAAGCTTTAGTTCATTTACTAGATCATTAGCAAATGTGAAAAATATATTATATAAACTAAATTAAATACAAGAAGAAATTAAATAAATAGTAAAATACAATAGATACTCTATGCATCTCAACAAATCTATAAAATTTAAAATCAACTATAAACTAGAAATATTATCATCAATAAAATCATTAACCCCAAACAAACAAGTTGCACATATTGAATTTTCAGTTTTTTAATTCGAGCACAATTCAAACCCAATGATAAAAAAAAAAGGGCAACAACAGAAGGAAAGTCAAAAAGGTAAAAAACAAATAGGAGAGAAAAAAAAAACTTACGGCGGGGTAATGACTATCGAGCTTCTTCGTCATGGCGCACTCAGATTTACTGCGGCATAACAAATTCAACTAAAATTAGGGATAAACTATAAGAGGAAAAACAGAATTACTAACCTATCTCCATGAAATCGAATAAAAAAAATAGGATTCTTCGATCCGTATCCGAAATTAGATACAGTGTTGAGTGTTCAATCTATCTCGATGAAATCTCCACGAACGAACATGTCGTTGCCCAAATATGAAAATAATCTTCTTCTTTGACGGGTATTGGAGTCTGCAATTTGTTGGAGAAAAACCAAAATTGCAGATAAAATTGGAGACTGCACGTTGGTGATAAGAGGGGAAAGGGCAGAAGAATAGGGTGGAAACTTTGTTTGGGGATTGTTAAATTTAAAGATTTGCTAATAGGTTAACTTTAGAATTTATTTATTTTTTACGCGTATGAGCGGGTATTAAATTTTTTTCTCAATAGAAATAATATATTATAACGATTTATTCAAAAGCGTCATTAAATATATTTTTATAAAATAAAATAATAAAAAAGAAACAGGTGTCCGTAGAGGCGTCTCAATAGAATACCTATTGTGGCTCATTTTAAAGCCTGTCATAATAAGGTGCCGTTAAGGCGTCATTAAAGGCTAATTATGAAATATCGATTTCTTTGTTCAATTATAATTCGATAAAATAATTCTACATATTTCAAAGCTTTAATATTATTATTATGATTATTATTTACTATTTTCTATATAATATATTATATTATAATTGTTATCGAATTTTAATTTTTTAAGAAACAAAGCCCTTATTGTTTAGGGGTAATTTAGTTTTTTCCAGTTTTCTATGCAAGGGGGTTATGTGCCTAATTTCATACCATAAGGGGGTCATGTGCAAAATGTCAAAAGCACAAGGGGGTTATGTGCCTAATTTCATACCATAAGGGAGTCATGTGTAAAATGTCCAAACCACTAGGGGGTTATGTGCCTGATTTCATATCATAATGGGGTCATGTGTAGAATGTTCAAACCACAAGGGAGTTAAGTGCTATTTACTTTTTTTTTTATCCAAAACTTCATCTTCCTTTTGTTATTCCTACAAATGGTTTTATTGAACTTTCTTTTGAATTTTCTTTGTACTATTTGGAAATTTAAAAAAAAATGATATTTTTTTTTAAATTTCCAAAATCGGAATGCATTTTTGAACTTCCTAACCCATATTTAACTTTCGGAATTAAAGACGTTTGCTCAATAATATCATCATGACTTTTGAAGTCATGTACGGTAAATACCAAACCAAATACGAGGAGTATTGGGGTCATGAGCTAACCCTTGGCTAAACCTTGGAAAATCTTAATGCCATAATGCCTTTCAAATCATCTTTAGCCAGAGCCGGTCCTAACATTTTCGGGGCCCTAAGCGAACTAAAAAAATGTGGCCCTCACGTATTTTAATATTATTTAACTTTTTTTTCATTGTATATATATTTGTGTACAAATCTCTAATTAACTTAATAAATTATAATTAAATCACTAAAATAACCAAAAAAAAAATCCATAACAGAGATGATAATAATGTATAAATTCCGCAACAGAAAAAAAAACCCCTACTTAAACATTACTCTTCTAGCATTTTATGAAGCAAAATCAAATTACACCAGTGTAATCAATCTTCTTCACTATATCCTTTTCTATCGACAACATAGCGAGTCCATTTAATCTTTCTTGCGACATGGTTGATCGGAGATAAGACTTAATCAACTTCAACTTTGAAAAGGACCTCTCAGCTGACGCAACAGTAACCGGAATCGTTAGCAAGATCCTGTAAGCAATCCATGTATTCGGAAAACCACCATCTATAACTTGTAAATAGTTCAACACTTCGATTGCCCTTTTAAGTTCTTGTGGCAGAGTACATCTCAAAACTTTCAATTCCATAGACATATCAATCCCATCAATATCTCAACTGCCATATTTCAAATACTCTTCAAGCTTGACACAATAATCATTCAAAGTTTTATCATCAATAGATTTTAGCCTCTTCAAGTCAAACAAAAAACCAAACTTCTCTTCATATATTTGAAGTTGTTCAAACCTCGTACTAAGTGACAAAAGAGCTTGATCCACCACATAGAGAAAATAGTTAACCCTAAAGCTCTCTTCGGCTGCTTGTAACAAATTTTCACTAGAACTCTCATCAAATTGTTTTTTCTTGTGAATGATGCGCTTTTGAGGAAATACAAGCTCAATTCCCATTGTATTTACAATTTCAATAGCTTCAATCTTTGCCGCTAAAAATCCAGTTTCTCTGTAACTTTCAAAAAAGCAAATAAGTCTCTTAAGTTGTTTAATACCAACATCAATATCCATATCTTCAGCTTGAAGCATTTTACTAGCAACATTTATCGTAAACAATAAATTATGCCAAATAACCATGCCAAACAAGAACTCAAAATTTTCAAGTTCATGTATCACCAAAGAATTAGCTTCACTCTTTGTTTTGGCATCTTCCCCACTATTTGCCAAGTCAAGTAATGCATCCCGGATTTTTGGCGCTTGATATCTAATAGCTTTAAGACTTCCAATACGACTTTCCCAACGAGTTTGAGATAATGGTTTAAGTGTAAGCTCTTGCACATGATGTTTCAAAATATCCCACCGCTTCGTAGAAGATGCAAATAAGGTGTAAATGCGTTGCACTACTCCAAAAAATGATTCAGCTTTGGTACAACAACTTGCCATATCACAAAGTGTAAGATTTAGGCTATGACAACCACATGGTGTATAAAAGGCTCTCGGATTGACTTCTAGCAGTCTTTTCTGAACCCCTTTGTGTTTTCCTTTCATATTAGCTCCGTTATCATACCATTGCCCTCTTATATCAGCAATATCAAGTTCAAGAGCCTTCAATGCATCCTTAAGTACATTAAAAAGTCCCAAGCCAGTTGTGTCATTCACTTTCACAAATTGCACAAAAAACTCTTTTACTGTTATCGGCACGGCTGAAATATCTACACATCGAACTACCAGAGTCATTTGTTCTTCATGACACATCGAATTTTTTTATTATTTAACTATTTTTTTTTTTTTTTTTTAATAATTATTTAAACTGGGAGGGGTGACTTTTTAGTAATTTTCAGACTTAGATCAAACGGTGTTAAGGTCAAAGGTCTGAAAACTAACGGCGAGGGCCACATTGAGACAATTTTTCAAGTACAGGGGGGCAAATCGATGCAATTGAGAGTAGAAGGGGGTAAAGTGATATCGAGCCAAAGTACAAGGGGGGAAAGTGGAATTTACCCTTTATTTGATGGATATTTATACATACTTGTGATAAGCATTGACTGCCACGTGTAGTGCGTTTAATTTGAACAAGTAATAAAGGGGCAATCTTTTGAAGGGTTAACTGGTGTTTGCCAAATATAAATTTATTTATAAATAATAAAAATAATAATATAAGCCACCAAGCCACTTGGCTACACAATAGCTCCTCTTTACCCTCTCTCTCTCTCTCTCTCTACCCCTTCGCCATACCAACTTTTAGATAGCGGCAGAAATTCGGGGTAATGGAAGCTTGAATCCTCTATCCAAAGGCGGTGAGGTGTGGGGGTGGGTGAAGATGCGATTTTTTTAGGGTTTTTTATTTTAATTTTTTTTCTAATTTGTGCAAGTGGAAAGGGTTTTTGACGCATATGGAGAGAGAAAGCTTCAAACTTGGCATAAAATGTAAGCTTATTAACTCATTCGAAGCTCCTTCCATTTTTAATTCTTCTCTGATGTTCTATTTTCTCTTCGTTTTTAACCTGCTCGATAAATTTATATCTCTGTGTATGACTGTGTGTGTGTGTGTGTGAATAAGTCTGAATTCGTGTACAGATCATATTTTACTTGACGAAAGTCTGAATCCGAGATCCATGTATGTACTACATATATATGCGTTTATGTGTATATACATATACATAATTGTAGAGGAATATGTATTTATATATATATAAAGCTGTGTATTATATAATAAAATACAAGGCTGTAAAAATTGGCAGGATATGTACTTTTTTGTTCTTCCTTTGGCTCTGATGGTGTCTTCTATTTATTTAAAATGGTGAAAGTCGTCTTGCACTCTTTTGTTCCGTGTCCTGCAAATACGAGAGAGACTAGTTTTAACGAGCTTGCAAAACAGAAATAGTAGTATTGAATTATATATCAAATATGTTTTCGTTTCAACAATTTCGATTCGAAGCGCATTTTGCATCTTATGCATGTGATAGAGATATCTAAAATCGTAAAGAGTGGGAAATCCATATATTATACTTCATATATGTGTTCAAAAAACGGTTAGGCGTATCTATAGAGTCCTAAGATTGATATTAAAGTAAGCATTTAAGATTGATATTCCACCCCCGTGAATTGTTTTTTTTTTTTTTGTTAAACTAATGAGTTAAAATCGGTGTTAGAATAGATGCTAGAATATAAAGATAAGGCAAAATGAAGCAATGTGTTTCCAATGGTTGTTTGGTGCTAGTTTTGAGTACTTTGGATTTTGGAAACAAGTTCGAAAGGTACGTTTCCTTGTCTCTTACAAATTTTAACATCTTAAGTCCCTTTGCTCGACTACAATTTCAAGAAAATAATAGAACCACTCTAAAGGTGATTGAAAAAATGACTAACAAGAAGAATCACTTTGCCTTTTAGGGGTGGACCTTCATCGGGACTTAACGGAATCCATTTTATGAGTTTTATCTTATTTAACATGGAGTATTAGGTGCATTTATTTATTTATTTGTTTTGAGACTTTAACATTGTGCAGTTTACAAAAGAAAAGCGATTCACAAAAGGTCTAATCAGGCTCAATAATAGGTGTATGAACGATATTGGTACAAATGCGGTTCGGTTCAATACATGAATCAAGATTTAAATAGAGCTAAAATCAAATTGTCGAATGTGGTACTAGACAGGGAGATTTTTTTAACTATTGTTATTTTTGTTTGATATATTTTTCTTCCTTCTTTTTGCACTATAATGTTTTTGTGGGCACATCTCATGTTCGTCTAGAGTCGCATCTATGCAGTGCAATATGCTATGCAATAAAGAGTTCATGCGGGTCTACTTTATATGCCCATCTAGTATGCTTTCAGCATAGTTTCGATTAACATGTATAAATAATCTCTATTTTCAAAGTTGGTCTATTGCTTGAACTAATTAGTCGGACTTGGTAACTGTTTACGTGGTTTGAAAACCAACTCGACAGTGCCACATTTAGGTCTGTAGGGTAATCAAACTCCAACAACCTTGGACCAATTAGTTGGACATCTCACCATGGCTTGAGCTTTCGCTCAAATGAGTAGGGGAAGCTCGGTTTTTTTTCCTCAACTCTTTTCTATGTAGAAGGCCAAATCTAGTCTTGCTCCAAAACACTTTACTCTATTTTCATCAAAAACACGTAGCATGGAGCACAATGTTTCTAAATGCTGGGCCGACTAAATATCTCTCTCTTTCTTGGTCTCTTCTACATGAAAACTACGTTCCTAATAATATTGAATTTTTTTCGACTCGTGTAGGATTTTGAGTGCTAAAATGGCGACTTGTGGAACTAGTTATGATGCATAAATCAATTACTCCTAGTTATGGTCAGAAAAATCAAGAAACTATATGTGTTCCACTGGCTAAGATGGCTGTTTTGAGATCTCACCGTCGCTTGAACTTTTGCTCATATATATGAGCAGGGCAAGCTCGTTTTCTCTCAACACTTAAACTCTATTTTCATAAACGAAATTGAGCAATGTGAAAATATGTCGGGAAAATATGCATTCATCTAGTTTCTTTTCTTTCTCTGCAATGTGAATCCACGTCAACAACTAAAGGAAGCCTAATTATTCGACCACGTTTGCAGATAAAAGTGGCGTGGGCTATAAAGCAAAGCATATATCCCATATATGTTCAAGCGTTAAAAACAGAGCAATATTTAACAAAAGCTCGAATACAGAAGAGGGTTCAAGCAGCTTATTTATACCATGCAACAAGGGCCTCGCTCGGAGTAAAGAGGTAGGTAGATATTCCTCTAGCAGCTTTTATTTATACCTGTATGCATTTTTATGATTCTGCAGATAATTTATTTTTATTTTACATATAAATGTTCGAACGAGCTAGGTCCGGTGTTGTATGCTTCTATTCTGTGGCAATGTTGAGATCTACCACCACCTTCTTTTTCTTAGCGCAGTTATTGTCTTCAACAATCTGTGAGCATAAGATGTAAACAATTGTGTGAAATAAATTCATTATTGTGATAAAATGATCCAGTAATCATAATTTAAATTCAGGGTTTCAACTTTAATAACCTCGTTGAGATGCTTTTTTTCTTCTTCCAGAATCTTTTCCTGTTCACATAATATAAGCACTTATCTTACTTAACATCAACCAATTCTCCGCAATAACATGCTCTAGCATCTAAAAGCTTTTATCTTTTTTCACACACACAAGAATACTCGGATACAATAGTGGCAAAAATAGATTTGCGCACCTTTTCCTGAAGGCTTGACTGAGCATCCGTCATCATTTTTGTCTGCATAATAAATTCTGACATCACAATGTTGTATGAATGGAAATTAAGTTTAATATGTTTTTACAGGTTGACAAGAAACTGGAAAGAAGTCTACTAATGTTCAAGAGGTTCGAACATTCTTGCCACATAAGCTCGCTCAGCTCATCAAAAAGGTAAACAAAAACTACCATACGAATTCAACTTCTCTAGTTCATGAAATTGCATTGATATACCACACTCTCATTGAGAACTGGCTGGCTCTTGAACAAAATATATGAGATAAAAGTTAACAAGAATATCATTGTTGTAAGACAATTGTATCATAGCTTTGCTTGGTCAAAAAAAACAAAAAAAAAAAAAAAACATAGGCAATCGAAGAAAAACATTATTAGCAGACGAACTGCTGGTCTAGATGCACTTTATATGTTTGGGGTCACTTTTGTTTTCTTCAATTCATTGAGTAAACAAATTAGTAGAATATACAAAGGGACTGTAAATAATCGAGAGTGAACATGAAACCTTAGTCGAACGTATCTCCATTAATGCAGTCTCAAGTTGTTTCTGCATGAGCCCAAGGTCCGCCACACTTAGCTGCTCAACACGTGGCTCCTTAAGTTCACTATCGGAAGAAACATAACTTGTGAGTAAACAACCCCCCCGAAATCTTTTCAACAAAAACAAAATAAAATTATTAAAAAAATCGAAAGTTACCTTCCAACAGTTTTGAGAAGCTCACCATATGTAAGATAATCGCCATTTTTGGAGTACAAACCCTGCCATTCAATCACCTTGTGAAATTAATCATCGTTCACAATGTATTTTTTGAACAACTTCTTCTTTATTACAACTATGTTCCCATCTCTTATAAATAGAGTCGGCTCATTCTATAATATTATTATATTTCTGGCATTTCTATAATATTTTGTCTGACCAACCCTGCCTTTTCTATTTTAACATGGTGTCGGACTGTCGAGTGTATCCAGAGAGAGTTGGATTTTTCTATTCAAAAACCAAAAAGAAGAAAATGAAGAAAAAAAACCCGAAAATTTTGAAAATAATCTCAATATCTAATTTGAAACCATAATTTCCGAGTAGTTCTCTTCGTTTTGTGACAATCTTCTTATTGTCTTTTATGCTGTTAATCTTGTTATTACAGCTCTTATTGCTCCGTCTTTTGTTACACTGCTATCAATTCTGCTACTCGTGCGAACCGTACGTAGCTAATGAAGAAATTGTTGTAGTCATGAACTAATAATATCTACTTATTCATAGACTCTAAGCTCGAGTGGAGTGTTACGTAACTTAAGCAGTTCCAACTTAAGGTGAGCATTGGTAAAGTATCGGCATATATTAGGGGCAACTTTAGATAACTGTCTGAAACCAATTTTCATTAGACATAAGACATAAGACATGTTTGTAATGTCTTGATTGAACCTCCTTAGTCAGCGAATTTAAATTTGAACTTGACCCTATATTTTGATTTCATCTTCACTCGGAATCCAAACTTTATACAAATGTTCCTCTAACTCCATTTTTTTTCGTCTTTTCTCCAACAAACTTTTTAGTTTTTGCACTTTGTGTTCAAACCAAGACCTAATTTTGTGTCGACTAATATGGTTAACTAGGTAGGTCGACCTCAGAGCTACTGACTAATATGTTGTTACGTATATAAATAAATAAAATAAATGTATATATGAATGGATGTTGGTGGTCGACTAAAATCAACTATGTAGGTCGACTAATTTATCGTTACATGTTAGAAGTTTAAGAGATCACAGATCGAGAGAGAGAGAGAGTGAGGAAACGGCAATATATTCAAAACCATCTACCAAAGTATCTTCTTCCATCTCACCAGATTTTGTAGGCATGCATGAAACTAGTATATTTTCGAAAAAAGGAACACTAGAGAACAAATAGTGACTTAGAGAGTCGTAGACGAGATAAAGCATATATTAAAAACGAGTAAATGAAGAATTAAAAAAAAAATGGGATTGCAAATGAAAAATTAAACTTACGGTACATTCGGCTGAAAAGGAATTGATTTAGGAATTTCATATCCAATGCCATCATTTTAGTTGTTTTTTGAGCAATTGTGTGGGATTTCAAATCCCTCTGTCCTAAGGAATTATTTGATTTGGGGAATGAATTTGAAAGAACGATTTAGAATGACTCCAATTTGGAGATATTTGAAATCCACACAAATGACCCAATTTATAACTAAAACGGACTAGTGTGGATTTGAAATTCTTCATCAGATCCCTCAATCCAAACGAGTGCAGGAGATTTATTATTATGGATTTGAAATCCCTTCTCCAAATCCTATCATCCAAATGAGTCTTAGAAACTTTACTTCAAACAAGAAAATTGCCTTCCTACTTTAGTTCCAAGTAATGAATCACGTCCGTTAGTAGATTTATTTCTATCTTTGGAAGAATTATTAGGCCTCAAACATCACCCGAGGCCGATGTCAATAAAAATTCCGAACACCACATATCTCAACGCATAAACATCAATCAAAACCCTGTATCTACTAATATCACCCATCTATGCATATAAGAAAGCGAAGTTGAATTTTCCGACCAAACTCCTATTATCTTTCTTTCTTTCTTTCTTTTATGATATATCCCTCCTATCAGATTAAATGACAAAAGACCAGCAGTCATACAACACTCGTGAAAAATTAAGAAATTATCTTCCCTAATTGATAAGTGATAATATTTCAAATTTCAGTAATGATCCCCATTTATACAATATCAATCTCGAGTAACCATCTTTTTTTTTTTTTTTTTTTTTTTTTTTTTTTTTCCAAAATCGATTGTTCGTGGTGTGAATCTGACCTCTGTATCGCAACCATCTTTGTCACTCTCGACTCGACTTTGATATTCTTGCAGGACCTGCGCCATGCTGTTTAATAACAACAACAATAAAAACTTGATTAAGGTATTATAATGCTCATGCAAAAACAAAATAATATTGAGGTAAAACCAAAAGAAGAATAAAAATGCAATTGGAATAAAGTTAAGGCAACCAAGAAATGGCATGATCATTCACTAAGAAACAAAATCATATGTACTTTACAAACATGGAATGTTGGAAAGCTGAAAAGGAAACATTCATAAGTTGTCTAGAATTTGGAGTACATTCATTCCTTAAAAACAAACAAACAAACAAACAAACAATATGTTGCTAGTACATAGAATATCCATTTGTTCTTTTTTCTTTCTTTTTTTCAATTAAAAAATAAATAAAAATACATTTTCATGTATATACGAGTCTTAAAATGTGACCAATCAACCAATAACATAGTGTGTGCTAAAAGATTTTTAAATTAAAACGTGACCAATCGACCAAAAATTGATAATATCCATAGTGTGTGCTAAAAGATTGAACTTTTATGTGTATTATCTTGTTGAACATTATCTTTTATTTACCAAGTGAAATATCATAGGGGGTTATGAACTTATATTAAAAGTATAAAGAGGTCATGTGCTTATTATACTAATGAAAGTACACGAGAGAGTCATGAGCACGAAGTCCGAACCATAGGAGGGTCAAGTGCTATTTACCCTACCATTTATATTAAATTAAAAGCACAAATGAAAAAATAAAAATATACTCAATATATAGAAATGTTCTGTTCTTTTATTTAATTGATCATATAATTTCATATAGAAATTAAAAATAACTGTTTGCTTGCAAACAATGCAACTTCATTATTTAACATTCAAAAATACCAAACACACCTTTAAGTAACAGCTTGCTCTTATTGTCCTTCCCTATTTTTTTAAATTAATGCTCCTTTATTAATTTATTTGAAATTATACTTTACATGGTAAAGAGAATAAAACAATATTCTTATTATCTGAATAATAAATAAATTGTACGTGTTGAATAACGATAATATTCTCTACTCGTATTAAATTTGTCAAAGTACGTACAAGCATTAAATAAATAATTTCTAACAAATAATAATTTTACTATAAAATAATTTATGAAACGTTATACAAAGATGGAAAGTTAAATGTGATTCAACAAACGTTGTCATAGGCACGAGGATAACTCGTGACAATATATAAGATGGCTCTCAAAGCATATAACTATTAACTAACAAATACTAAGTTTTTTTCCCCGAAGGATACTGTCAAACAGATATGGAGTATAAACTATATTCAATGATTGAATGACAAACACTACTGTTGTGTAGGGGTACTGTGCACGGGTCGGTACAGCTCGGTTTTTGCAATAAAACAAACATGTACCGATAATATCGGTTTTTCATGTTTTAAGAACCGAACATGTCGATTTTTTTTGGGTTCGGCGGTGTTAGTCGGTTTTTTGGTTTTCGGTTATCGGTTTCGGTATCAATTTGGTTTATTTTCATTTTCGGTTCCGTCTATTGGTTCGGCGTAAAATTTACATTTGATTAACCGATTGGACTTTCATTACATCGGAAGACGGTAAACATTTATAGTATATATCAAAACGTCTTTTTGTATAAAATCGGATCGGTTCGGGTAATTAGTTCGGCAATTTTTTTATTCTCCATACACAAACCGATATTTTTGATTTTTCAAAAAAATTACCGTATATACGGTTTTAAGTCGGGACGGTGCATATCGACTCAATTTTTTCGATTTTCGGTTTCTCGATTTTTTTGCTCACTCCTAGTATTGTTGTGTGCCTTTAAAAACACACGTTTTCTAAAAAATATATAATAAAATCAAAATACATCATTATGTATTATTACTATTATTATTAAAGGAATTTGTTTTTTTTAGAAACCAAGAGTAACTTCAATGGGGAGGTAGATATCAAAATGAAGTATCAAACAATTAATTGATGCTTGAGGTAATGCTTTGATACTTCAAAAAAAAAAAAAAAAAGGTGCTCCTTCCTCATAGTTATCAAACAAATTATTATCTCTTTTTATGTTTGTAATATGTTGAGATTTCTTTATTTATTTTGTCACAATGGAATTGCAGGAGCTATTTTTAAAGAATATTTGAGTCCTCTCCATTTCTAGGTGCAATTTTGCACCTCAAATTCCTTCACCACCGGAGGAGTACTTTGGAATTTTCAAGTATCAAAATAGCAGTTTTATTATCCGATCCCCTTATTAATTCCTCTCTTCTAGAATTGCTCTAAAAGACAGATAAACTAGTTACTTCTCATCAAAAAAAAAAAATATGAACTAGTTACTAAAATACCTCCAAAAGTTCTATTTTGGGAATATGAGAACTAGGGTTTTGAGATTCCCACCAACACCAACAAATTTCAAAAATACATATATAAACAAAAAAAGAATTAAAATAATAAAGAAAAAAAAAATAGGTGGTGTTAATTACCTATCGGCGCTACAATACTGATAAAGCTTTCCCCTGTTGGAGAAGATGACAGCGGCCACATCGACATCGCAGAGAGCAGATAATTCCTTAGCTTTCTTAATCAGACCATTTCTTCGCTTCGAGAAACAAACCATTCTCGCACTGTTCTCCTCGATTCGCTTCATCTCCAGCTTCTTTCTCCCCATCTTCGGAAATCTCTCTCTCTCTCCTTTTCCTTTTTTTCTTTTCTTTTCTAGAGAGAGAGAAAGTAGAATAAAACTTCTGGAATTGAATATTTATTCTGTGGATAAAAAAGAAGCAGGCAGATTTTTGTTACTCACACAGTGTGTGTGTATGTTGTGAGTACGCACTTACTAGAAGAGAAGCTGGGGGAATCTGAATCGGGGGAGAATTGAAGTATGGGTGAACCGTGGATAATTTATTTTAAAACAAAAATAATTAAATAATACTCTGATTATGTGTGTGTGTGTGTGAGATACTCTGATTACTGACGTCTGTGTACTATTAATATTGATAATATATAATATGTAATAGAAAAGAAATGTTAAAGGAGTGTAGACGTACTTATCCAAAAAAAAAGGAGTGTACACGTGGCGGAGTGGGGCGGGGGGGCGGTGGGTTTGGGTAGATACGAAGCAGACCACGTTAGTTCTTTCTTGGGCCCAATCAGGTACGACTAGAAGGAAAGTAGCTTAGCTATGATTGGCTCGCACTTACGGTGATGTGCGGCCGTCCCTTTTTATTGTATTCTTAAATAAAACAAGGACAACACGCTTTTAACCAGAACTGAAAACGTGTGACATCATACGGAATATGTAAGTTTATTTTTCTTTTTTTAATTCTCTACATCAATCTAAAAATTAAAGATACTAGCAACATATTTAAACTGTAAAACTATTATTGTTGTTATGAATTCTTAAGTGTGGATATATGAATGACTTAGTCTTGTGAGGCTCTTGAAGAGCTCACATAGGCATATTTGATGAAAGAGATTGAGATCAATTGAAGGATAAATTTTATAGATCGAACATCTGTTTTATGGAATTTGTTTCCATCATTTTATGTGATAAGCCTCATTCACTGATTGCCCGATCTTTGAATATATCAAAAGAGGCCGCCGAAATATTGAAGTTTTCTAAACTCGCGAGTTAAAGAAGAAAGATGATTTTTGCAATCATCATTAACTATATGTCGGAGATCTATCATTGAATCATTGAGAAAATGATCAAACTCAATCTCATGTCGAATTCAGGGGGAGCGTGATCAATAATTCCAACATTGTACTCTTTTTCCTTCGTCCAAGTTTTTGTCCCAATGAGGTTTTCTTAGCAAGGTTTTAACGAGGCAGTGTTATGCTCTCAAGATTTAAATGGATATGTACTCTTTTCTCCTTCGTTTAGGTTTTGTCCCATTGGGTTTTCCTAACAAGGTTTTTAACGAGGCATACTCCATATATGGTGGACATCCAAGGGGGAGTGTTATGAATTCTTAAGTGTGGATGACCACCATTACTACACCACCATTACTCCCACTACCACCACCATAACTCCCACCATCATCTCCACCATTATTCATCATTAAAAGTGTTGTAACTCTTGACCTTTGAGAGGTTTTTTTTGTACTATATATACAACACAATGTAAATGTATTTTACATACAAGAAGAAGAAGAGAAATACATATTGCATTCTCTCTATTTACTCTTATGTTCTCTTTGTTATGTTGTCTTCTTCTTCATTTTCTAACAATTGTTAATTAATTGTCTTTTTTGAGCTTAGCTTAACTATTAAATTTTTTGATAAATGTTTCTTGATTTTACGAGAAATATATTAAAAAGAATAAAATAATCTTAATCATTTTATAAGGTGATAAGAGAGAAAAAAAAATGAAAAAATATGGGTAAAATAGGGGGAAATGGACTTAATGTAATATTGAAGCTGTAAATTTTACAGATAATTAAAAAAAAAATATAAAGTGACAAATTTTAATTAAATCATATCACAGTATACTATTAATGTAATATTAGAGTTGTAAAGTGACAGATAATCTGAAATAAAAATATTTCTTTAAAGTGACAAATTTTAACCAAATCACATCAGAGTATACTAGGTCTTCTAATTCTTTAAGAGGTTTATCTAAAAAATTCGCAATATAACTCGGAAGACGTTTTAAATACCACACTTGGGTTTAATGGGCATGCGAGTTTGATGCAACTCATTTGATATCTTCGTATCTGAGAATCCACAAATTCGACCCCAGATTGTTCACAAAATTTCGGGTCTTCTTTTGATCTCCGCTGTGGAACGAAGTGAATAATTGGTAGGAATTATTTTAGAGACCCACCTCATATGCAATATATAACTAACCACCAAAGAGATTACACCCTAGTGCAAAGTGCAAACCCCCTCATTTTTTATAATAATTTGATATACCCTTCTGGGCCAATTTGAAGTACCTAAAATGCCCTTTAAAATCAGTTTTAAACCCTAGTCAGCTTATATTGGTCTCTCTCTTCCTCTCTCATCTCTCAGATCCGAATCCCGCCCCCCAAGATCTCCAACCGGCGATGTTGCTTTCCGGAGTCATAACTCTCTCCGGTAGTCGGAATTCGATGGTTTAACTACCGTTGGATTCCTCTTCTCGGACTCTTTATTTTGGTGCTAATTTCATTCAGCTTGGAGCACTCGATCTGTTTCTGCAATTATTTTTTATTCGGCGCATATTTCAACGATGTTGGGTCATTTCGGAGGAGTAATTTGTGTTCCGGCAGTCGAAATTTGACGGGCCACCAACCGTTGGATTCCTCTCGTCGAGATCTGTATTTTTATGGTTATTTCGTTCATTTTTTTATTGTAAATTTTGTTTATATAATTTTTTTTCATCTACAAGAGCGGAACCTGTGGTCGTTGACGTCGACTTGGATTTTGTAGGAGGTGCTTGGGGTGAAGAGTCATTGGCGGTTTAGCCTAAAATTCGTACCATTTCGCAGCTATGGCCTCTCTCTCTATCGCTCGATCTTTGTGTGGTTGTTGATTTTTTGAGTGTTTTGATGTTTCTTCTATTTTTGTTGATTTGCACTATTTTTTTTTTTTTTAATTTTGCAATTGCAGCGTATTGGAAGCCATTGATCCTCTCCTTGAAGGTGTCAAAAAATTTGGTTGAAGTTATATATGCTACAAGTTACAGTATTCTGCATAGAGGTGGGAACGAGCCGAGCTCGGCTCTTTTGGCCAGCTCGAGTCCATGTTGCCGAGCTCGAGCTCATCGAGCTAATTTTTAATGTCTAGCTCGAGCCAATTTTGGCGAGCTCGAGCTCGGGCTCATTTAATTTTTATTTTTTTTAATTTTTTTTTATTATTTAATTTTTTTTTATTAAAATCATTTAATTTTTTGTTAAAATTTATTTATAGGAAAATAAAAAAATATTATAAAATAAATAATGAACTCTAGTTATATATTTTTTTCATTTTTCTATTATTATTAATATTTTATATTATTATGAATTATTTAAGTAATATAGATTTGTTTCTATTTAAATACTATAATAATATTAATGTTTCTATTTAGTTAATAATAATAATAATAATAATAATAATAATAATAATAATAATAATAATAATAATAATAATAATAATAATAATAATAATAATAATAATAATAATAATAATAATAATATATTTATAAAAAAAAAAAAAAAGGCAGCTCGCGAGCCGACTCGCGAGCTGTCGAACAACTAAATTTGGGCTCGAGCTCGAGCTTGAGTTCGAGCCTTTGTCGAGCCGGCTCGGCTCGTTTACTTCCCCTAGTTCTGCAGATTGTATACATTACTATAAATTACTATACATTACTAGTTACATATGGTACATGTAGTTACATATGCATATGTTTGTGTATATTTTATTTGTATTTGTTGGTTGTGAGGTGATTTATAATACAAATATTGATAATTGTAAAATTTTGTTTTTGGGGTTTATGAATTTTATTTGTATAAGCCAATATTCTTGTGTGTACACAATTGGTCGACTAAAAATATGGGGTAAAAAATATTGGAGTTGCCATGTCTAAATCGAGCGCATCTTTATGTCGTTATGCAGCTCTTTCATTTCCAATTACACACTTTTATTCTCAAACTCAAACTCTAGATCCGCAATTTTTGTTCCAATAAAAAATTAGATACATATATCTATGATCTATCTATACAAGAAAAATATACTTGAAGGGCGTCGAGGCGTTCTTTGTAGAACTATATCATAAAAAAATCAAGGAATAACAATCATGAAACCTTGCAGCAAGATCCGATCACACCGGCTATGGAGATTCAAGTCGGCGATTTGGCGGTTCGGCACGGCAAAGAGGTGTGGCGACGAAGATTGCGCATGCGATGGGGAAGCGGCGGTGGGAGGCGAGAGAGAGAAGAGAACGTGGGTTGAGAGAGATAGAGAAAAGAAAGTGGCGGTGGAAGGAGAGAGATAAGAGAACGAGAGTTCAGAGGGAGAGAATAGAAATCATGATCCGATTTTGAGTCGTGAGTTAGGGTATTAAATTGTAAATAAAATGGCAAAACATGTAATTTAAGTTGTCCAATATATCTGCCAAATTAATATTAGAATTTGGATTTTTAACTAGGACAAAAAAAACATTAGACCTCCTTAGGGGTGAAAGTCGGATGGATCGGATCGGAATTAGCATTTTCGGAAAATTTCCAAAAAATTCGGAAGTACAAAATCAATTCCAATTCCAATTCCAAAATTTTCGGAATCTAAAAATTCATTCCAATTCCAAAAGGCCCGGAAATTTCGGAATTTCGGAAAAAAATCGGAAATCACATAAGCTTTAAAATTTCAAAACTTAGCCGAAATTTTCTAAAATGTTCATATTGTTTCGAAAATAAGAGCATCTACGTTGATAAAAGTAAAACTAATAACTACTAAATTTCAGTTCAAAAAAATAAATGAAAATAAACAAAGCATAATATCCAATAAAACTTCTAACAACAATTCATTATGTCAAAATCCTAAAACAAAACTTATAGGTGTATTTTTCGGAAAATAAGTATTATATAATATATACTATTTATAGGTGTATTTTTCGGAAAAAAATCGGAATTTTTCAGAATTAATTTTGGAATTAAATCGGATTAGAAATCGGAAATTCCAAATTTATTTTATATAATTCCAATTCCAATCCAAAAAAATCGGAAAATTTTGGAAATCGGAATTTCGGAAGTCGGTTGAAAAAAGTTGTTCCAAAATCAGAACTTTTCGGATCGGAACCGGCGGAAATTGGAAAATCCGTTCCAACTTGCACCCCTAGACCTCCTCATAAATATTTTCATAATTTGGGGAATCCCTCATTTTCCCAAATACTAAAATAGCCTCCAAGAGTGCACAAGTGGCCCCTACATATTCTCTGACTGTAACACTGGTGCAATATGGTTTTATCTATCCTACACCCGGTGAAGGTTACACCGGGTGATTTTTTACCGTTGATCTACACATACCAATGTGGGCGTGTGTGTGTTTGTGTGTATATGAATGGTAAAG